CGCAAAGCACTAATGATGTAACGAATCGTTCTCATCATTGAAAACCACCTTTCTTTAAAAACGGTAAATAAACTCCCCATTCATCCGAAGAACAGTCACTTCAACGAGTTTGGCTGAAAACGCTGTGACTGTTAGAAGCTTCCTTAAAGTCCATTATCATTGAGCAGTGATTCTCCAATCAATCCGTCTCTTCAAAGGAAAAACGTATCGCATGGCGTAACGCGAAATTATATTCAGGGGCTTCGCCTTACGAGTCGTTAGCCACTGATGAGATAAGCAGGTTACAAACACATACTTGCGTTTTACAGTCGAAGTTCAGTTTTGAGCCGACTCAACGTCATGTGCCCCAGAGTGCCTTCATGAGTTGCGGACGGTAGCCTCTGGATACTTCGGTTAACCGTGCAGTGTATAAGCAATCTGATGAATATGCAGTCGCCGACTATCTGTAGGTACGGCAATTTAATCGCAAACATGCAGAACACTCACAGAGGACGCTGACCAACTTGGCTGGCAAATACTGACAAACCTGATCACAGCTGTGTGGCGTTACGGGTGTGCTAAGACTGTTGGGAGAGTATATTTTCACGCCCACAAAAGATGTAGCTTGTCTGAGGTCCCATCGAGATTTGCGACTTCTATGGCATGAAGTCATCGCTGTTCCGCCGCTGATCCGGATCATTCGCTTTTTTCCCTTGCGAGTAATCGATATGGGATCATTGCGTCAATCAGAAGAACGTCAACGTCGAGCCACCGCTTTGACGAGCTAGACGCCAAAACCTTGGTGCAGTTGTTTGAGTTTATGTTTCTTCTGGCTGGTTGTCGTTTCGTACCCCGTCTTCCTACTGCATGGGAGACCGAAAGCACCACCACACCGTGAAACAGCTACGTTACCCAAATATGAGCAGTTGTCGGCTTACTCATTTGCTGACTCGCTCACTTGCTGATTTGCTCACTCACCCACTAACTCATTTGCTGATCATTTGCCGAATCATCAATTTTGTACGATGTACTTGGCAGTTCAGTTTTTGGTTAAAGGTTACGATTCTGGTACGCTATCAGTGAGTTGAACCTTGACAACTGTTTCTTTCGTGCGCGGTGTAAATGTCATCCAGAAGGTCAGCAATAACAATTTTGTTTATGGTTCACTTCCCTAACCTTGGCTTGCTTTACTTACTTGTTATAATTTCAATGCTATCTATTTTTTTGCAATTTGAGTATATGCGTTTTCACTTTGTTCATGCTAAGGTGAGTTCAGTTTCCGGAATGTAGTGCATTTTGCATTTATGCATTTTTGAGATGGAGAAGTAAAGCGTAGCACTGCTTGCAGTTGGTGCTATCGTTTGCGTCATTGATACGCCATAAGTTGTTCGATCGCTATCGTTGCCTATCATAGCTCGGTCAACATAAGGTCTCTTTGAGTTCGCATCAGAAGGAAGCGGCATTTTCAATCGACATCGTGACGTCGTGCCAATATTGTCGCCAAGCTGCCTGCAGGATGGAATTTCCTTCGCCATAAACATCTGAGATGCCAACGGACTGCTCATTCGTACAGATTCACCTTGATTTCAACGGACGGGACGAATAACTTAGAAAATCTTACTCTGAGAATGACAAACGAAGCCTTACTCTATATAAAAGACTCAGTCATTTATCGAGATGATTGATTTTAGTTTTTCAATATCACCGAATGCGATTTGATTTCTAGTATGCAACGTAAATCCTTTTTCTTCGCTATATGTGACTTCTCTCGGTTACGGAAGACAATTTCAAGATAGCCCTCCAGTACAATTTTCGACAAGCATGCTTTGGAGTGGGCAAATAAACTAATTAAGGAAACAATGCACAGCTGTGTTTAGAATATCTCGACTAACTTACAGTCATGAGAAGTCAACCATTGTAGTAATACAGAATTTCTTTAGTTTTAAATGATAAACGTCTAAGCTGTCAATTTAAAACTTACATAGTTAATTAACTTTTCTGCAGCAACTTAACATTATCAATAAAAAGTTAATGCTACAATCTTCTAGGTCAATCTTCACTTCTCATTTTCTTTTCCTTTTAAAGAAGTTAATTATTATGATGGTGAGAATTTGTTTCTGAACTGAAGAGAATACACTTGATATTTCGATTTCTGATTCTGTGTTTATTTGGAGTAACTGTATCATCCTCTGCATCTGCTTTAGGCCGCCTGTGGGGACCATCTAAGCTAATCAGGGCTCCGTGGTATCTTGGCACCTGAAATGCACTATATCTATGACCCCATCTCTGAGTTAGGCAAAACAAGGCACGTTTAAGCACCAATTAATTTGCCATTTTCTGTAATCAAAAATATAGACAAACATGCTTCCGACGTTCCAGAGCAGCTCTCCTGTAGTAGCTTTTCAATTCCGCCGGTTATCATAACATCTTTGTAATTTTTGATACAGGACTTACTCAACATAAGAACTATTGATTGCTATTTGGAGCATTACTGGAAAGTTACTATATTGTAGTTATCCCGAAAAATCAAGCTACATATTGTCAAAAATGATTAATTAGATCGTTGAGCTGGCCGGACAGGTTGATTAAGAAACGGAGAATGAAACGGATCTCAATAATCGCATTCTGATCCAAGCGTAGGAGCTAAAGCCCTTCATTTCTTTCAGGTGCTCTGTTAATTAGGGTTTGCATGGCTTTGGTGTTCTGTTTGCATACGCAGAGCACACTGCAATGAGAAAAGAACTAGTCCAACACCTCGCCACAAGGGTTAGTGATAAGACAATACGGTTAATACTATGTTGTTGAAATTTAATGTTCATTCATCTCGGCGACCCGAAAGGAGAAGCGGCGATGGAAGACGATAAGATGATGATGTTCATTCATTTTGTATTCTGGTACTGGAAGTAAGCAGCTAATTACATTAATTGACAATATATATCATATTAAATTTGCAATGTAATTTAACATGTTGCACTAGTTTGAAGCAGCAACAATTTCCCGATACGGTTTGAAAAATTTTACCGGTTACAAAATGCGATTTTTAATGGTTTATCTTTTCTTCTGCTTTTACATGTGAATCTGAATAGAATGTTTTAGAAGTTTAAATATTAATAGCCCTGTGAAACTCAGAATCTGATTTAGGTAGATCCTCAGCCAGGAATGATCCAGTCATTGATGGTCATAATCAGCTTTCACAAGTACATGTCATTCGTTATCAATGAATGTAACTGTCACATACAATATGTTTGCATAGATTATTCATTACAAAGATCGACAAAGTGTATAAGATACAGTGTTTCTACATGGAAACGCAGCAAACGGTAACACTTGTTCAATCGTTCGCTGGTGCATATACAGTGAAGATTTGTTTCAGGTT